GACTATGCCAAGGCCGTTTGTCAGCTTTACATGTATTGTCTAAGGGACATATTTTGGTATATTGGTTAAAGCACTCGACTTCCATTCCGGTGTAATTTTTTTAAAAATTTGCTTTCGTTTCTTATCAGTGATTTTATCATCTTTTTCGACTACTATATCTCGATCTCTCTATACGCTTTCACCCTCTCCCTCTCTTGCTCTGCCTCCCTCTTGATCTGCTCTAGCTGATGTCTCCCTCGATCTGTCTCTACTCTTTCACCGGCCAGCTCTCCTTTTCCCGCCTTTGGCTCCCGTTCTCCCTCTTATGTCGTATAGGATGTTCCTTAATTTCCTTTACCTCTTTCCTTTGCCCTTTGTATTCTTTTTTCACCCCTTCCAAGTAGCCTATATGCATTCTGATTTCTCTTTCATCCCTCGGTCCATCTCATGTATTTTTACATGACTACCCAGTCTCCTTCCGTCTCCTTATATCTCACCATGTTTCACTTTGATGACGTCATCACAGTGACAATTTTGATTGAATGCGACATGTCAGAATTTTCTTAGTTTGCGTGTCATGCCTATTGGAGGTGACTTTTTCTGAAATCTGCATTAGGACATTCTAGTCTTGTTTGAGCAATATCTCGATTATTTTTTCTCGATTTTCTGCAAGCTTCGAATATGTTGTAGCTGAGAAAATTCTCTACACTTAAGGTCACATTTTTTTTCTATAAATCAGATGTTGGGATCATGGCGATATTCCAACGACAAGATGTGAATTGAAAATCCTATTTTTCGTTTACGTGTAATGTCTATGTGGAGTAAGTTGGAATTCTAGACAACACCGACGCAAAGCCCCTGGACACCAGGTCGAGTTGTCCAGGGTGGGGTTCTTCGGGGGACAGCTCGACCAACTTTTTTTCTCCTCATGATTTCATGATCTAAAATCCCTCATCTTAGATAAATTTGTCATTTTATGTATTAAATATGCTTTTATAAACACCCACCCCTAACCTAACCATAACTCTAACCCGGCGATTGTACGCCTTCGGCTCGTCAAAAATATATTCTCGTTGCAAAAAATATCAGCTTTATTCTTTAGAACAGCTCTCAAAATACTCACAATTTCCATGTTCCCTGTCATGACTGCGTTAATTATAAAAGCATTAATACATAAAATGACAATTTTATCTACGATGAGTTATTGCCAGTTATTCACCCCATGTATACGCAATGTTTACGTCTCTAGCTCCCACGGACAAAGAATTGTTTACATGTCAATACATTTCTCTTTCTATATATCTATCTACTCACATCTCGCTTAATTCTTTCTCCTTTCTACTGCTTTGTTTCCCTTCCCTTCTCTTGCTCTATTTCTGTATCTCTCTTTCTACTCTTTCACCCTCTCCCTCTCTTGCTCTGCCTCCCTCTTTTTCTCTTGCTCTGTCTCTCGATCCTTTTCTCTACTCTTTCACCCTCCCCATTTTCAGCCTCTGGCTCTCGTTCTCCCTCTTTTATGTCTTTGGATGTTCCTTAATTTTTGTCAATAAAATCTATTCTTCCTATTTAAAGTCATCATCTTATTGAAAGTCATCATGACAACTTTTACCATAAACAAAAATATTCTTTTCAAAAATAATTCCTAGGTACTGAGCTTCCTTCTCACATTCCTAGATAAATACTTATAAAACAGTACGACATACACAAATCACTCAATTACTACATATCTCATGAAAATGTTTGGAACAAACTGTTTCAATTTTTACTGCACATAAATTATCATTTAAGCTTTATCAAGGTAAACCTTTAAAGTCAAACATAACATTCTTCATCTTATCAACCATTACATGATATCAGAAGATCATGACACAACATAGCTCATATCACTAAATACCAATCCTAGTCAATATACATATAGTTGTATATCCAGAAATCTCAGTTCTCAACCTATGGTTTAATCAACCAAGTTTTATAATGTACAATAAATAATATGACATTCTTACTTTTATCAAGTCATGAGACTTAGATACATTACATTTCTCTTGTATTTGAGTTGAAATCTGCACATGCAATTCTAAACGCAATTCTAAATGCAATTACTAAAACGTGTTTCCAATAATCTGATTTTTTGTTTTAAATGATATTATATAGCACCCGTACTTCAGAACGTTAATATCATGAAAAAGGTTGAGCATGGTTATAAGTCTACAAACACCTTTGAATAAAACCTTTGCTAAAAACAATGCCAACATAGCACAACAATATCATGCTGTGGGATAATTAGCATAAAAACAATCCATGTATAAATATGTATGACATATTCTGCACAAAGTTGAAAACCTATAACATGGCTATACGTCAATGTCCATATAGTTTGTATATAACCTGTTAATACAAAGTAGAGATTATCAAATGTTCACATCATCACCTGAAGACAATGTCTTTGACTCAAAATTAAACAATTATCCAGCATTAAAGAGCACAACCCATTGTGTTCAGCATCATTAAGCCCTCTCTGATATATTTAGAGACATAAGGTGGCTGTCTAATTATCATCTCTTTCTGTTTTTTCTGTTCAAAATGTAGTGAGTAATATTCCTGCACTTGCATAAACTACAATGCGTATATATTGCTGTAATATTTTCTTCTTCATATCAAACTTGTGTAGTGGATTTCATGAATTTCTACAAAACATATGCTCAGGATAATAATTTTGTATGTGCTATCATAGAAAGTTTGATGGGTATACATTTGTGGCTGGGAAGATCAATATAAAATAAATCTCAACATTACATAATCCTGGTAAATGCAATATGTATTCAACAAATGACATTAACAAAATATGTTATTAAACCGTGATACACATCCAATAATTTACAATGGTAGACAGACAAAAGAAATCCATGAGTATAGTGCATTTTACATTCTGCTCATATAATCTGCTGTAACATTATACTGAACCTTCACCGATACAAGCCGAAACCTGTAATCTTGGAGCATCATGCTCCATCTCATGATTCTCTTATTGTCAAACCTCTTCGCTTGAATATAGAAGAATGGTTTGTGGTCTGTGTGTACTTCAATTTAATACAAATAATATTTTAACTTTTTGATTGCTCGTACTATTGCTAAGCACTTTTTTTCTATTGTGTAATTTTCTTCCCATGGTAATGACTTGTTACTCGCATAAGCAATCAGGAATTCTTCTCCTGAATGTTACTGCATAAGCCCAGCACCCACATTTACCTTCAATATAAACTGATCCTCGGCATCTTCTGCAGAATCTTGACACACCTTCCTACTCTCTATACACAAATCAAAGCAGCCAGCCACTGACAAGTTAACCTTCTGCCTGAGAAATTATTTGTTGAGAAGATTAATGTGATATTTCTTAAGAACACCACTGACAATGTAGTCATAGTCATACTTTACGCCAGCACAGGGAATGGACCCTTCCATTTCAGCAACAACTTGTTCTGATCAGTGGGAAGCAAGATAAACCCTGATCTCCGTTATTAAATTTCCTGTTTCTAGCATTCATATCCTAATACTTCTTGTATTTTCCTGCGGCACCTTTTAAGGCTTCCTGGGCTAACCCCCATGACTTCACCAACTTCTCACGGAGCACTATGTCATATTCATACTCATCTTTCAACTCCGGTATTACACCATCATTTGTCCTCAATTCCCTTAACATATCAAAGACACTCGCCAAGACCCAGTCTTCACTAAACCAAGTTTTCTGAAATGGTAGAAATTTTGAAGATATTCAATACCTACACATGGTGATAAAAAATGTAATATGAATGAAACATTTCCATTGTCACTGCTAATATTAAATATAATCAGTGTCTCCGTTACCTTTACTACTGCTATCACCTTCACCAGTATTGTTAGTAGGTGAAAAGCATTACCCTTATTCATCTTTCAGATAGATGTTATTACTGATCACTGGTTTTATGCTAATGTTATCGTATTCATTTAATCAACGTCTGAGGAAATTAATTTTTCAAAATATTTTTTGTACAAAGCAAATGAGATATGAGCTCGCATGTGATGTCACACAGTTTGCAATTTGTGCTTCACTGATTACAACTCCAACAATTTATAACTTTCTCATTTGTTTTTGATTTTCCTCAAAATTTCATTGATTTGTTTCTCTCATTTATCTGCTTTTATGAAGACCAACTTATTTTTGGGGTGGACTTCTCCTTAACACTTTACATGTATGAAGATCAACTTATTTTCGGGTGAACTTGCCCTTTAACACTTTACATGTATATGTAAGCATCTTAAAAAATGCATATTTATAATTATATGGCTAACGTCATTTACTCCTTACTGTACTTGGGGGGGGGGGGGGGGGTGGCGTAAGAGCCCCCCCCCCCCCCCTCTCCCCACCCCGCATTTTTGGAGATAGCGCCGCAACCGCTTGGAATTTTACATTGTTGTTCTTCGATTCTTTTCCTCAAGTCTTATGCACATTTTGATACCATTTTCATCGAATTTGGATACACCTGTCAGGTGTTACATAGCAATTAGTATGCGCATATCATCAAAAAGTGCTACAATTGCATATATACATGTACAAGCAGAAATGTGAATACAGGTAAATAGATGTATAAGTGGGAGATATGAATTGATATCAAATTGCTTTGATACGTTTCTCAAAGTAACTTGATGTATTCCAGAACAAAAGAATACATTAGAAATAAAATAATAGATCGAGGACTTAAAACCACAACTGTCTATGTCCAAATATGCCATTTGAGTAAAAATGCATTTAAAAGTTTGATTGCAAGCATAAAATCTGACAAAGTGTAGTAGTTATGTTTAATGCCATTAACTTATAAATAATACTTGGTCAAACATCATACATGGAAGCCATGACCTTTTGACCCTGTCAATGTCAGAAACTTAAAAAATGGGAGTGCCAAATACCATCCATGGAACTCTTCAGGAATGGCTAGGCTATTGCACAAGTTGATGAGATCCTTCTTCTTAAGGTTTAGGCTTTTTTAAATGCTTCTCTTGGTAGACAAGGTCCAGATTACGTGGAACTGATGATCTATCTTCTTGTAGTCATACAAGTAGTTATAGATGGTAGCAGATGGTGCTTTGCTCTTCCTTCCTGTATTGGAAGCTCTTTACATGTAGCCAGTTGAAGACGTGTCTATCTTCGTCTAGGCGTTTGTTATTCATGATCTGCTGTGAGAGATTTTTCAGATCATAAAAGTCTCCATGGCACATGTTTATGACCTTGTATGGAAGCCGACGTCTTAATTTGTGGAAAATGTTTTACCCAGTCATGCATTGTGAAGACATTGATGTTCTTTTTTTCTGTTTCAATAGCAGAATGCATGCTATTGCATTCCACGTGGGAATGCCCACTCTCCAGAAAATTGTGTGCGATGACTTTGAGATGTGTGTTCTGGATGGCATAGAGTAATGTTGCAGCGACATTCACTTTGCAAATCAAAAGAAGCAGAGACAAAAGTCCTCTTTCCAGCAACTACCTTGGCCTGGCATAGCTGCCAACACTTTGGAATTTTCAATTAGTAACATTTAAGTAAAACTGAATATCATGTGCGCGTAGCGCACATCACGAGCTTTCTTTGGAAAATCAGAGTCAAATTCCCTCATGTAGCAGGGTGTTGTTTGGCGAGCCTTAGTAATAAGGACACTTTTTAGAGTTTCGTTGCTCATGGACCCTCTGAAGTCAGTTTTGTTCTTTCGCACCTGACTGAAGACCCTTTCACATTCAGCATTGGTATGGGGTATGGTTAGAATCCCTTTTGCAAGTCTGTCATAGCACAGTTCACCAGAAACATTCTTTTCTGTCATCATACTTGTCCACTGCTTGTCAGTAGATTCCTCATTTTGCACTAAGTCCGGAAGCTGAGCAATTTGATAGATAAGGAACTGGTTCTCCAGAGCATCTAGGGCACTGTGCTTGTCTTCTTCTTCTTCCTGAAGCAACATGCAGGGGAACTTGTTGATGAAGAACTTTAGAGAAGTGAATTTGGCATCCTTCTGATATGCAATGTCAGCCACTTGCACATGGATGAGAACATCAGACTTCAATAGAAACTTACTTACAATGTAGTCACATGCCTTGGTGTAATATGAATGCACTGCTGCATAGAACTTATGGCAATCAGACTCATCTAAAGTGTTCACAATTTCTCTTGTTGCGCTTTTTATGACCATTTCAGATTCTTCACAAAGATTCTCCTTGTTCTTGTAGTCCAGAAGGGTCAAGTCTGTGGCTGCAATGATTGCTTGTGGAGCTACAAATTGGCTGTACAAGTCACGCAGTAGACTTTCTAGTATTCCTTTTAGCTTTTGTATCAGAGGACTTCTCGTCTGAAAGATGACATTTTTCTTGTGAAATGCAATGATGCTGTGGCTGATATTGGGTTTGAGTGCAATGAATTCAGAATTCTTTCCTGTCTTGTTTTATCTCTTACTGTCTGTCTTGTTTCTTTTTTTCCTCCACATCTTGTTTTTTCATTTCCAGTCATTTTACTAGAAATCATACTGGGATGACTGGAAGTTCCAGTCTTGAGCACTGTTGAGCCTGTTGCCTTGCCAACAACTTTCCCAGTCTTCTGCTTTTTTCTAGGTGTATCCGAAGCTTCCTCATTTGTCGTTTTTCCCGAGTAGTAGAGCTTGAAGATGCAGGTCTACTGTGTTGTGGCTGTGGTGTTTGAAGTTGAACCTGGGAGGTAGAGAAATTATTGATTACCATATGAGAAAGAAACAAGACTACTGACACAGTTTACAATTAAAAAGATACACTACATTTGAAATCTTGGCAGATGACTAGCATTATTGAATACATTTTTATATCTGTAAACTGAACAGCAGAGTGAAGATGATTGGAAGAGAAAGAGCTTACAAGTAAATGACCTAAAAATAAGAAGAAAAAATAAATGATGTAAAGGAACATATTTAACTGTCACCCTGTATATATCGTCCCTATTTTCACGAAGTGACGGTAGTGAGGAAAATCGTCACGCAAACTGTATGCAATTTTATTTCACTACCGTCACTTCGTGAAAACAGCGACGAATTATGATCAATTTTTGTACTCACTTGGGTCTGAGACTTGGCAGGTTTGCTCACATGTGGTGGATCTGCAGACACCTTCTTGGGAATGCAGAATGCTTGGAGTTGTGCAGTCATCTTGGTTTGGTGAGCAGGCTTTTTCTGCAGGACAAGACAAGCTTAAAAAAAATTAATGCGATGCCTGCAACACTATTGATGACTTATTTATAAGCATGAAATTTAATTACACATTAAATTAAATTTTGCAATTACCATTTTGGTTCACGTAATATCCATTTTCGTATTTTTTTCAAACTATTTTAGAGTGTAAAATGATAATAACTGTTGCCAATTTGAGGAGTAAAAGCTGATTAATTCAAACATTTAGAAAGCTCTCTACTGCTAGGGTTAATCTATTCAAATCTGGTAATTTTAATGATGGCCATATTTAAATGGAATAAAAAGGAGTACATGCCTTGTAGTAATACATTTTCTAGCCTTACCTTCAGTTGAGATCCCTGAGCAGGTTCATTTTTCACAGCTGGAGTTGGCTTCTTTGGAACAAGTGAAGTCTGGACACTATTCTTGGTAGCCTTGGTCTGTTGAGTAGGCTTCTTCTGCTTTGTCTGTTGAGTAGGCGTCTTCTGCTCGGCTGACACTTCTCCTTCAAAAAAGAGGACTAGAGCTTGCCATTGTTGGATAAATCTTGGCAAGCATTGGCCCAAGCTCAGCCATCTCGTACAAGCATGTTTCAGAACTGCCTGCACTTCGTTCCCAATGAGCATCTGGAACTTCTTGAGATTCAATTTCCTGTTCACGCTGGCTTCCAGATAGTAGAACACATCAATAAGGAGCGAGTCAATTGAATATGGTAATGCAGATGACGCATCTTTGGCAGCAGAATCAATTAGATGATTGGGGCAACCAAGCACTGACACTTCCCGAGGCATGCCACAATTTGGTATGGTTTACTGTCGCTGACATTACTCCCATCAGTTGATATTGCAATTGGCCGTGCTTTCATGGCTGAAACGATCTGTCCTTGTTTATCTTTGGCCATTTCACGCACAAGACAAGATGTTTGGTCCTTGCACTGGTAAACTTCATAACCTCCTCAGAATTAGGAAAGGCTTTTTTCAACAATGGTCCCATGTGACTTGCAGCTGATAGAAGAATATTGTGCTCCAAATAAAATGATGTAAATAAGCACTCAGCTCTAGTTATATTAAAATCCTTGGAGGTTGACATCCATGATGTTATTTCTCGTGCTGACGATTCAGACTTGAAAGCAGTGATGTGTTGCTTTGATTTGCAATGAACAACAATGTCATTACAACCGCCATGCAAAATTGACAAATCTCGGCGACATTCCTTGCAAGTTGCATGATGTTTGCTCTTTCCTGATGATGCACCGAAGTCAAATTTATCAGCATATTTCTTGTTGTAAGCATGTCCTCTTTTGCACTCCATCTTATTCACAACGATTTTCTGTCTTACACGATGCAAGGAACTGCTTTGGCATCTTGAGCCTCTGTTTTTTGTACGAGATGGGTTTCCGTGAAATTCTCCTTCTGATCTCCAGACAACTGGTCATACTTCGTACATGTTGCACATTGGTCTTTTTTATTTATCATAACGTTTTTTCGGGCAATGGTATGGTGTTGCTTGGCCACAATCAGTGAAATAGCTGCATAGGGAATCTTATCTGCTTAATGAGTAGAAAACTGCAAGTATTGCGCAATTCTTGATGAATGTACTTGAAACAGTCTGAACATCAAAGTAAAATGGCTAATGGACACATGGGAATAGACAGTTCTGAATAGACACAAAGTGAAATGAATATACAGTTCTTTGGTGGACATAACTGAATTTCACAAAAAATGGACATAGACAGTTCTGGCTTTAAGCCCTCTAGAAAAAATAAGAAATAAAAAACAATATAATACATATTAAAGAAAATAAAATGAAATTTGCATATTCAAAATTTATGCAAATTAACCTTTGCATTTTCAAATATCGACAGCCCCCCCCCCCCCCCCCCCTGCAGTCAGGGGTTGCTCAAAATAGCCCAGGGCCAGTAGAATTTCAGAAATATGTTTGCTCTTTCATTAAAATTTAATGAGAAAATTGTAAAGCACAGTTTTTGTTGGGGTTGCAGGGGTTTACTCGTACATGTTTCTATGCGATTCCGTGTTTGTTTTTTTGGGGGAAAAAAGATGAAAAATTGTATTTTAAGATCGTATTTCACTCTTATTATCATACTAAATATGATTTAATCGTACTGGTTGGCATCTCTGTATAACCCTCCAATTTTCATTAACTCAAACAACTTACATCATAGTGAATAACCTACTCAACTAAAACGCATTATCACTACCAAACAATCATCTTTCAGCGAATAACATTCCAGCATTGGGTCCCGATATTAGTATTCTTTCATTATCATTAACCTTCCCATTTTGATATTCCATATATAATATGATATCAACCTCTTCTTTACTTAAATACTTGCATGTCTCATTGTCACGTTCAAGCTTGATCTCTGATTTGAGTGTCTTCTTCAGAGTGATGGTTTCCACCGTGACGTACCTTGTCTCCTCCTCCAACCCAGTCAAAAAATGAGCACTTTGCAAGGTTCATGGAATGTTCCAACTTCAATATACGGATCAGGTCGACAATCCTTAATCTGGGAAGAAAAAGCATGGATGTATGATCTTGTTATCCATCCACCTATCAATCCAGTATTCTAAATGTGCACCATTGTTTTAGATTTCTCAAATATGATCTATAAGTTCGAAATACATGTACATGTCATGATGTGAGTGATGTTTAAAGATACTAAGGTTTGAAAGGCAAGGAGTGACAACACATAAATCCTTTAACTCATCACCTTAAGAAAAGGGTTTTTACCAACTTTACAACCTGCTTTCAATGTGATGTCCATGGCAGATGATATCATTGATAAGTGTACGGTAAGCCAACAAAATATTGACAACCCTTTTAAGAAGGAATAATATTCATATTCGTTTTTGCAAGAATGAAGACATGATAAATGAAAATGTTAATTATCAACAAAATTAAGAAATTTACTTGTTTATTCTTCTCATTTTACTACTAATATTAAAAAGCAATCTTAACAGCTTCATGGTAACTATAATATGTAGGGATGACCTCTGTTTCCAATAAATCTAGTCCCTTGCTGTACACATGATCTATCAATGTTCCCTTCTCAGTAGTAGCATTAACAACATGCTGTTTGTAACCTTTATTACACATTAGCTTGTTTACCTGTAAAGAACCTTTAAACAAATCCTCATTAAAATCTCCCATCACAATACACCTAATGCTTGTTTTGTGTAATACATCTAGCAAATTGTCTAATGATTCACAGAATGATTTGATACTATATGATGGAGGTCGATAAACAACTGAAATCACAACAGAAACTGGTTTGGTGACAAGAATTGCAATAAACTCTAAGTTGTCGACAGATATGTCTAATCTACTTGAATATGTATTCTTGATATACATTGCAACACCTCCGTGCGATTGTTCTTTGAGTACATTTCCAACTCCAGAATTACAGTATGACAGATGTCGTGGCTGATGATAAAATCGAAAGTTATCTAAAACAACGTCACAGAGATCATCATCATTAATCCATGTTTCGGTCAAGCAAATACAATCTACATTCACAAATTGGCACTGGGATTTGAAATCAGTAAAATGCTGTTTTAATCCTTGTACATTTTGCATTACCAAAGAAAAGTTATAATCGTGAATATCTTCGGAAGTTTCATTCTCAATAAACGGCTTCATAATCTCAATGCGTTCTTTAATTTCTGGATTACAATATATACGTTTAGGATCGAAATGTTCTATCACAAGTCCAGATAACGAAGTAACGCGACTAAGCCCAACATATGCCTGTCCAGATTGAAATACATTTTTTAATGATACAACAGCTTTGTCTAATGTCGAACCTTGTACTTTATGAATTGTGCAAGCATAAGCAAGCTTAAGTGAAATTGTTTTCTCACATATTTCTTACCATGGATTCTTGAGACATTTCGATTGAATGAATACCAATATCGCCTTCTCAAAATTAACTTTGATGCAAACTGGATTCAAATTTGTATGATCCGTTATTATTTCTGTTACATTTCCGAAACATCCATTTGTCAGGCCTTTACTAACATCAATGTTTTTGAGCAACATCACTCTAGCATTAACTGCAATCCACAGATAAGGAGGCAACTGGGTTTTCATCTTGTATAAGTTTTTCTCCCGTATTTGATTTCCTTTTTTAACATCTTTGTCCATGTCTTGTGCTTTTACGCATATCACATCTCCACATTTTTTATGCAATAATTTCTTGTTCCAAGCATCTACTTCATTGTTACATGCATAGATATGCAGAGCATTTTCACATTCTTCACCAGTCTCACAGGACTTGAGCATTGCTAGGTCTTCATCACAGAGAATCTTCCCCTTGTTTTACACGTAATCTATTTAAGAGAAAAGCAAATTGGGTATCGTCTTTTTTGTCTCATAATGTCTTCAAGTTCTACTTTCTTGAAATTAGCATTCCACAATGCACCATTGAGTGTGTCTTTATATAAAGGAGTTCCTAAGACTGGGGTAACTGATACATGTCTCCCAGCAATAACTGAAACACCAGCAAAAGCAGTTTGATCTCGTGATTGTTTTATTTGTCGTAGGCGGCCGTGAATGTAAGACATCAACTTTTGATTTACCATTGATACTTCATCTATGATTAAAATTTGCAATTCAGCCAGCTTATTTCGAAGGACACTTATTTCTCATCACTCAGAGGTTGATACAGTCTTTGTGCATTGATTGGAATAGAAAGAATACTATGTATAGTATGGCCATGATATTGTATGCAGCTACTCCGGTTGGAGCCATTTTCAATACTGAGACATCATCAGGATGTGGCAACATTCGGGCTAGTATACGTGTTGCTTCATAGTAAAGACATTTGATCAAATGACTCTTTCCAGTACCAGCACCTCCAGTTAGAAACATATGAACGGTTCGACCGATTTCCATTTACTCTATCTAAACACCACTGTCGTATTTTGTAAAAAACACTCTGTTGCTTCTCATTCAAAGACCTCATCAAAGAATGTCCATCTTGTTTGGAAATTTTTACTGAACGTAGTTCAATGCTATAGTCATCTTTTTTCGGTTCATTCTTTAAATCTGGGATATCAAGATCTCCATCACAATCTTCGACATCTACATTTTCTTTGGGATGTTCAAGTCGCTCTACTTCCTTTTCCGGACAAAGACAAAAGACCCCATGCATCTTCGTGTGACCAAATTGTCAAGATGCTCCTGTGCATGATCAATTGCATCGGCATTCATTTCAAACTTCTTTCGGTTAGTACAGACAATTGACCAGACTTTCTCCAATTCACGTCCACATATTTTCACAGAACCTGTCTCGTAGAACTCTTCATGTGTTTCAAA